TTTTGAATCTTCTTGATTGTGTTACGTTACACCTAATCTTGAAAGCTGATTCGTAGATCAGAAGGATTACGTCACCATCCTGTCCGACTGCAATTATATGACTTATATATGAATTTGTCATATCGATATGATATCAAATAACATTAAATATAGAATTAAAATGATAACATGACAAGATTATATATCATATGAAAACAATCAAAATAGATCATCGCGAAATTTCTATCAAATCATTGGACCAGTTGATCAACATTATCAAAATTTTTTTTCAAGGGTTTACAAAAAACTGACTCGATCGGGTTACGTTTTCACAAATTTTGAGACAAGCGAAAAAAATTGCCAAGACCGAATCGAAAAGTTTCTGATATGGCAGAAATCCATAAATCATCAATTCAGTCATCAGCTATCCCAAAATTTATGTAACTTTGACCTTTTGATAAAATTTCTATATAGGCTACACCTTAATTACAACTGATAAAAGTTGATAGTTTTAATTTTAAGTTACTAAAATAAAATTTCAAATAAATTTGTTCAAGGATTAGAAAAAAATAATAGTTTTGCAATTTCAAATATTTTTTACCAACATATTAACACTAACAAAAAAATTAAATGTGATCTAATTAACTTAAAAATAGTTTGAAAAAAAAACCAGTATATGAATTTTATAAATAAATATTACTTATGCGTATGTAGAATTTTAAAAACATACCTTTTGATCTATTTTTTCTTTCATTCATATTCAACTTTCATATCCCCCTTTTTGTCTTTCTTTTCATTGGTCATCCTTGCAGTTTTGGCCCCAAATTGTATAGCTCTCTTCCAAAGCATACTAGCATTGATTAACCCTAATCTTCTTGCAACATGCCGCAACAGTAGTTTTTCACCCGTGCCTCTTGGAAACCTCATATCAGCTTTAATGTGTATTGGTAATGAACAAAGAAATGAAACAACATTGGTAGAAAGATAAGGAAACCTAGATTCTTTGGAATGTGATGTGATTACACGATCATCCCGACCTAAATTTAAATAGTTAAACGGTATGACTAAGACAATTGTACTTATAAAAGGAAGCTCATATTTGCTGATATTTGTTATGGTGGCTGTAACAAGCCTAAATAATAGTTCTTATGCGGCCCGTAACGTTAAAGTTTGGCACGTACCTAGATTCCTTGTCGATATTCTATCTACGTCCAATTGTACCTAAGATTATTAAAAAAAATATATATTAATGTCATATATAATAAATTTATTATAAAAATATCAATACATATGTGGGAATTGCGCTTGCCTCTTGAATCAATCTTTCCCAACTACCTTTTTTAAACACTTCACGGTGACGTGAATATCCAGCAAGTAACTCGTCTGCACCTACTCCAATGAGTATTACTCTTGCCTTGCTTTCAAATTTTATCATTTCCTAATAATATATAAATGTTAAAAATCCTTGTTGAAACATATAAAACGATTTATAATAGACATTACCTCTGAACCATCAGGACATGAAATTTGACCTACAAATAACATCACATCAATAATTGATCCAAAGGCAAAATGTTTTAAACAAATTACAATATATACCATTGCCTCTTACAGCGAACCAAAAAGCCATTGCTATGCTCTAACTCAATTTAAATAAATAAAATAAACATTAGCTTAGAGCTAAGCATTAAACGTTTTGAAAAACATACCAGATCCATAATTGTATCTGATGGCGACATTAATTCTAAAATTTCAACTTTACATTGACAAACTTGTTCATAAGGAACATCCACTTCAACAAAATTCCATATTCTGTTTGGTGAAATTTTTCTAATAAAGAAATAAATAATAATTACCAATATTCCTACTTCAATATAAAATTTATTTAATCAAAATACCTCAATTCTTCAACACCTTGCCGACCAGTCAATCTATCAGGAACATCGTAAATCGATTTACTTTTATCACTTTCTGCAGTCGTCTTTTTCTTTTTTCGTGACAATGTTTGTTGTATTCTAGGGTTCTCAAAACTCACATTTAATAAGTCTATAGGCTCTCCATGTGGAATATATTTATCTGCTAACGCAGCAAGACAAATACAATCTAATCCTCCAGAAAACAATATCGCCACACTAGCATCCTGTTGTCCCCTAAACTAATCAAATTATTTAATGAGGTTTATTCTATCTAATTATAATATAGACAAAGATTGTAATTACCCTATCCGTGGAATATCAAAAACACGTCGTCGCACAGAATCGCCCAACACATCAATCATTTGATTAATGGCTTGTTCCATTTCTAAAGATATTACTGGGACAAAAGGATTCGAAACAGATTCTAGAGAAGTTGACGGAAGTTCATTCAAATTTGGAAGAGTGCCGTTTAATCTACCAAATGGCAAATTCCTTAAAGTGTTTTTGTATAAATAAACAACAATATCAATAATAAATAAATAAATAAAATAAATAAGTTATAAAAGGTAACCGATAACAAGCTCTTATATAGAATAATTTATGCAATACCATTTGAAATGTGTCAGAAATTTATCAAAAGAACCTGTAAACATTAGAGTAATAAATATTAGAAATATTCTAAATAACAAGTAAAAAGTTATTAAGAAACTTTACCTAAACTACCCGACGATAACATGGAACCAATGTCTAAACAATAGATACCGTCAGCAGGAACTTCCTGAAAATAAGACATAGCTTCAACATGTTCTGATCCACGTGGTGTCTTACAACCCACAGAAGTTAGAAAAAAGTTATCTTCTTCACTGGTGGGAATATGCCATAATAACGATCGTCTTCCTAAACAATCACGTCCAAACCATAGTTTTCGTTTTGAACTCTATTAGATTCAACTTTAGATAAAATATTTCAAAAAAATTATAAACAAAAATTATTGATCAAAGGATTTATGAACCTGCCAGAATATAATTGAGTATGGACCCTCAATCATTCGAAGAACCTTAAGGACACCATTATTATCATTAATCTTGTCGCTAATCTTTTCACTATCTTTCAAGGTTGTTGATAAACATATTGTGTCATTTTCTCCAAAAGGTACCTGAAGTCATACGCACATAGATTATTAATACATTAATTTTGAAAAGAAAAAAAAAAAGTTATCTCGATAATGAAATTACATACCTCTAAACCATCAAATATTTCACCATTCCATAATAAAACATTTTGATCATTATCTATCAAAGGTTGTTTAATAACAGATTTTCCACGCAGATGCAACACTGCACCAAAAAAGTCCAATTCAAAATTATCTAATGATTCGGAAAATTGATCTTGGCTGTCAGGACCTACGTAAAGAAATGAAAATTTATTTCTAGGATTTATTGTAAAAGAAATCTCTGGAATAATTAAGTTCTAGAGATTCAAAATACCACGTTGCGTATTTTTAGTCATTAATTGATTCCATAAATCTTTGTGGAATGAATTTGAATGATTTCCATCATTCGAGCTCGAACTTTGTCGTAAACGAAACAGAATTCCACACATACTGTATTCGGATCGGTTTATCGTTATCGTTATCGTAATACAGAGATCAACTTTAAATTCGCCTGATCGACTGCATGCTATATTAGGGTGATCCATTCATACAAAATTACTTTTTTGTTTCTCATAATTGACCCCCGTTAATATCAACCCATTTGTATTGCAGTATTGGGCAATTATGTTGATATATGCGAGGGTTGATAATATCGGGTAGGCCAACAAAAGTATTTAATGGTTTAATAAAATGGAAATAGGATCACGTGTTTATGTTAAAAAACCCCTATATATGAAGAATTTCTAATTATATCATAATTTTTTTCGTTTTTATAATAAAGAGGTTGTTAACATAATTATTTGTAAATGTCAATCTAGTGAATGACCAATTCAATATTTCACTATTCGTTTTACTGTAAATATATCTGTAACCGGTTTAACAACGGTTTAGTACATATGAGTTGCCAATACTGAGTAGAAATTTTATTAACATTGACATCATATGAATGTTATGTTCGTAGATTCAAATATATTTTATTCGATTGAAACTGATTAATGAATAAAAGTCAAAAGTCGGTTAACATATCTAATAAAGATGTTAACGATTTGTATATTTATTATAAAAAACCAAATTAATGAAAGATTGCACGTAAAAAAATAGTAATATAGTAATTACGTAGATGATAACAGATTTATTGCATTTGAAATACACGAATCTGCGTCTTGCCTGTATTATTACCGTAAAATCCAGAAAATAATCACCAACCTTCTACTCTATTTTGTTTGATCTTAGATTAATGAATCTGAGGGTTAAAAAGTTGGGTAGAGGGTGTGATGCTTATTTTCTAGCTTGGTACATATCAATATTGCATAACATGAGTCTAAATTAAGAACCTCTAATTACTATTGAATTATTGTAATTATTAACGTTAACAAGGGTCGAATCGCATAGATACAGCTGCTGTGAGTAATGGTCACGGGAAATTTTTTCTTAATAAATTAAGTTGAAATAATCATGTGATTACATTAAGCTATAAGTTCGGAATTATCGATTAACGCTTCAGAAATGATTTCTCTAAAGGTTTCTTCATTGTCTTTTATTTGATATAAGGTGCTTCTGGATGCATATTTTTCATTCCCTCTAAGTTTTAACGAAACAGAATGATACGAATATGAATTACATGAGCTTATAATAGTTAAAATGAATATCAATAAAGACGATGACAATTTAAATAAGCAATAAAAACGGTCTTATTTTTGATTTAGAATTTAACATCCTCTACCAGTTAGCTAGCTTATTTACTGTATATTTCAATAAGCATATATACAAGAGAAGTAATTTATTTTAACATATGAAGTATTATTATTTAATTAGAGCACGAATTATAGCTTTCAGGTATATTATTATATGTGCATTAATAATAAATAAAACGAAATATTGTCATAGCCGTAATGCCGTAAGCAGTCAGGCACTACCCTGAGAAATGTCTGCATCATTAGTAATCACGACAGGCTATGAACAATTTTGATTTGGTCCGGACTGGTTTTTGCAAGGACCGATCCAACCCTATTGGTCATGCTTTCGTCGGTTATTTGCTAATTATTTTAATTAATTAATGGTCTAAACCGGTCTAAGATCGGGGACTAAAAAACCTCCGGTCCCAGTCCAAAGACCGGTCCGGACCGGTCTTTTTTTGGACCGATCCAACCCTAATTGTGTAAAATTTTATCTCTATATATATTAAATATATCGATATTGGCTACCGTCAGATTTATTATTCTGATCAGCTTAGATTATCTTAGTAATTTAACTTGTCACCCAAGCCACTTTTTTTTTTATATAATGATATTTGTTCCATTAGCAAATTTTTTTTTGAGCAGTTAGCAGCGCATCTCTTCTCATCTCACACATCTAATACGTAGCACTCTGCTCTTGGCGCTCAACACTATAATGAGTATTTTTTACAATCGTCTTGGCTTGTGTAATGAAACTTATCTAAAAATAACTTGTTTAGTTCTAAATTAATTAGTTGATATACATATATAGCGATTAAAAAAGAAATTACTCTTACACAAATTACAAATGGTTTTTTCTAAGTACTAAATAACTTATCCTGTTTAATTCAATTTAAAAGATGTCTAAATTAGAAGAAGCCACAACTAGCAAAAACACTTCAAACAACAAAGCAGCCCAAATTGTACAAGTTGATCAAGACATACAAAATGATTCAGATAATCAAAACATACAAGACGCACAAATACATTCAGAGGGTTTGGGTCCTATAGTTTAGCAGTTAAGCTGCCAAACCCCCACAGACTAGGTCAACAGTTCAAGTCGGGCTGGAGGCAAAATCTTAGGATTTTTAGCTTCTATAACCCAATAGAGGGCCATAATTGAATGCGAAGCCCTGTGGTTAAGTCCAAGTGCAAGTACAAAACTGAAAAAGGAAATTTCCAGAAGGAGGTCTAATCATGGAGTGGTGGCACTATGTATGACGGGTCATGGATAGGGTTGGGGGCACGGGGCATGAGGCATGCCCGAAAGGCATGCCTCCTGGGCATGCCCCTAGGCATGTCCTTTTTCAAAAAATTTATATATGTAAAAAATTGTTACGTAAAAAATTTTGGGGGCATGCCTATAGGGCATGCCTCTAAATCAAAAAAACCAGAGGCATGCCCATGGGGCATGCCCGAAAATTTTCCCGTGCCCCCAACCCTAGTCATGGAAGGTTCTGTTATACGAAAGGTTGCACATGTTAGTCCTCGATTAGGGGTGACCAGGGCAGCACCAACATCCCCAGTGGTTGGAGTACTTGATTGGAAGAGTAACACAACGGTAACAAAAACTGGAGTAGTGAGAAAAGTGGTGAACATAAGGACGACTTGTGGTAAAGAATTAGTCCATTCAGAGTTCAGAAGCACCTCTGGCCCCAAGCTACTTGGCCTATTAAGGAAGAAACCTGTGAGAACAGAACGAGAAGGCTGAAACTCGAGGTACGTGATAAAAACTCGAAATGGCTAGATTCACTAGACTGGTAGTACAATTGTACAAATCGGGCTTGTATATCAGAAATTGATAAGGAGCACCAAATACTAAAATTAGAAGTATTACAGACTGCAAGCCACAACTAGGTCTAGACCCTTAGAGCTCTGTAACCTAAAATGTCAGAGTACCGGAACACCATAGCTCAAACTATGGAAGAGAAGTAATATGAAACCCATAATCTGGAAGTTATGGAGTAATCTTTAATGCAATATGGCGAGCCTGCACCAACACACGGGAGTATCTACCTATAAAGGTAACGGGAATCGGCAGCATACTAACTAAACTAGGCGTTAATGACGAGGCTTAACCTGGATCAGCATGAGTTCCTCTTCGTGATACTACCTAGGCAGTCTAGCTAAAAATAACCAAGATTGGAAGTAGCCCTTAAGGCTACGAGGCCATATCCCAGAAGGGACTACCAAATTTAGGAGCTTAGGTATAAGTGGTATAAGAGATGCAGGGAATGACGTCATAGGGAAGTATACCAAAATAGGACTAGTGAAGGGTGGAAAAATACTGGGTGAGTGCTATCCTTGGACATATCGCTCCGGTAGGTTTGGATCGCAGATAATAGATCGGTGGCCAGATAGCAGATGGGGACACCTATCGCGCAAGTAATGGTTTCGGCCAGAGCGTAGATAACCAATAGGATTCGAGTCTGAGCTTGGTGTACTTGATATATATAAATACGGAAATGTAGTAATATATGTAATGAAAGTATTAACAATAAATAAAGTTATGAGCAAGATCCCACCTGAATACCAAAAAAAAAAAAAAACAAATACATTCAGCTAATCAAAATGACAATATTCTAATACCTGAATTGCAGGAAATGTATAAAAAGTTAGATCGAAAAATGAAGGAATGTTATCAAAAATGCAGAAACAGTGGTGAAAAAATCAGTTTATTGGAAACGACTATACATTAGCATAAAAAAGGAGTAAGTGTGTTTGAAATTATATACATTTTTATCAATTATTTTTTTTAATTTTGTTTTATTAAACCGGATTAGTTTTTTCGCCATTATTTTCTTCCTATCTTTAAAAAATTTGAAGTAAGCACAGTTTTCTATATAGTATAAGTATAATTATAGCTTTGATTAGATATACAAAGCAGATTATAACTCTCTATATATAGTAGTTTTTTATGACTAGTTGTTTTATATGTCAAGGATGCATCTAAATTTAATAAGACCAATTCTTTATCACAAATTATTATTGTGTTTTCTGCTTTTTTTATTGCTTCAGTTATGCTACCTTTGTATTATTCTTCTAATTAAATACTTTATAAGATTTTTATATATAATTTATTAGTTATGTTTTTATAAACTGAATCTAAACTGGATATTAGTCAAGTTTGAGTCTGGTTTGATTTTTGAACTGAACTCAAACTTTTATTTTTAATCATTTTTGCTAAATTTAGATTTGGTTTAGGTTTGGTTTAAAGTTTGTAACCTAAATATATTTATATATATTAAACAAAATTTACTTAATGCATAAAGTTGGAATTACTTAATAAATTTTAAAAAATTTAAGATTTTGTAATTTTATTAATAAAATTTTACAAATCATATTTTTCAACATTTTACTAATTAATTCTAACTTTATATATCAAATAAATATTCAAAAAGAAAAAATGTGTTTGTCACTAGTGATGACAAATCCCGGTGCTAGATTTTTTTTTGGGATTGGATTGTTTCCAATCTGGGTTAGATTTAACTAAACCTTTTGTGTTTTGATGGTTTTGTTTTTACGTTGTTTTTTTTTGTTTGTTTTTAATTTGTTCATTTAGTTTTTTTTTGTTTCATTTAGTTTAGTTTTTTTTTCGTTTAGCTTTTTTTTTTGTTTTGTTTTGTTTAGTTTTTTTTTTATTTCTTAATTAATTTTTTTTTTTGCATTTATTAGACTGGTTTAAAATCTTTAAAACAGGAAATCTGCAAGTAATTTCTTTTTTTAGCTTAAATTCATTTTTGTACTGTACTAATTTTTTTTTGCAGTTTAGCTTTATTGACCAGTTAGTAGAGATTTGAACTAAGATAAGATAGATAGTGTTTCTTTCGCTAATTAGTTTTTTTTTTGAATTAATACTAACTCTTTTTTTGTAGGTTTAGCTTTACTAGAGTAGTAGCTAATGGAGTTTAGAACCGGGATTTGTAAGTTAAATACTGTAAGTTTTTTTTTTCATTGATTTCTTTCTTTCAGAACTAATTCTTTTTCTTTTATGTAGGTTTAGCTTTGTTGAAAAGTCGAATTGTGAAGATTTGAATTGGGACTTGTAAGTACTGTTGGGGCTTTTTTTGTTGTTTGCTTTTTTGTTTTTTTTTTTTATCACTTGGACTAATTCTTTTTCTTTATTATAGGTTTAGCTTCGTTGAAACATTGGATAATAGAGATTAGAACTGAATTCTTATAAGATAAATACTATTGGGTTTTTTTTTCATTGTTTGCTTTTTGTTTTTTCTTCTTTTCTTGTTAACTTGAACTAATTCTTTTCTCTTTTGTAGGTTTAGCTTCATTGAAATGTCAGATAATAGAAATTAGAACTGGACTCTTGTAAGATAAGTACTGTTGGAGTTTTTTATTGTTTGTTTTTTTTTTTCTTTTCTTGTTGGCTTGAACTAATTCTTTTTTTTTTGTAGGTTTAGCTTTGTTGAAATGTCGATTAGAATATGAGATTTTGTAAAATAAGTATTGTTAGGTTTTTTTTTGTTTATTTTTTTTTTCTTGTTAGTTTAAACTAATTTTTTTTCTCTTGTGTAGGTTTAGCTTGATTAAAACATCAGATAATAGAGATTAGAACCAGACTCTTGTAAAATAAGTATTGTTCATTTTTTTTTTTGTTGTTTTTTTTTCTTGTTAAGCTGAACTAATTTTTTTATTCTTTTGTAGATTTAGCTTCATTAGAATATTGATTAAAGCCAGAGTCTTGTAAGAGCTTTCACGATTAGAATTTGTCGAATTTTTCTAGTGTGTGTTTGCCTCCTTATTGTCATCATTTTTCAGTGCTAACATCATCATTGATGTTTGTTAGTAGGTCTTGTTCTTTTAGCATTGTTGTTTGAACTTTTATTATGTTGTTCTTGGAGCTTGTTGCATTTTGGGCTTGGAATTGGTTGTATTACATTGTTAAAACATTTGTTATACAATTAGAGTTATGGTTAATTTGCAATTAGAGTAAAGATTTAATGATTGAAGTTTTTTTTTTTTTAATAAAGTTTTTTTTTTTTAATATAATTTTTTAATAAAAAATAATATAATTTTTTTTAATGTAATTTTTTAATAAAAAATAATGTAATTTTTTTTTTTTAATATAAAAAATGATATAATTTTTATTTTTTTTAATAATTTTGATTAGATCTGAATAAAATTTCTGAGATCTATTGATGGCGAAATTTTGAATATTCTGCTTATATGATGGCTACTGTCTTTCGACAATCAGTTGGAACAGGATCTCTGTAACCTTAGTTGTACTAACAAGATTGGGAGATTATGGAGCATTCATGCAATACATAAGTTACATGAAGGCATGCAAGCCAGTATTAGTTGGTGCAAACCCAAGATAAGACTTTGTGTTTATATAAACTCAAAAAACTGGAAAGACAAATGTCTGCTTAGCAAGACTCCAGTAAAGATATAGCACAGACTTTCAACAGTGGCTATTAGAATAGGCTTCACCTGAGGCTAGAGAATCGGACGCAGCAAGAATACCCAGCAAGTTGTTCTACCAACCAGGCCGTCAGCTTGAGCATCGACCAAAGAAAAAGAATTAGTAGATACTATGAGATCGGTGTTCCTTCTAGGCTATCTGAATTGATAGTCTGGAAAGACCGGCTAGGAGATATTAAAAGGAAAAGTACTGGGTTGTCTTGAAAAAAGAGTACCGGGGTTTGGATGAACTTTGCAAGAGCTAGAGGGTTTAGTAATATGGCCTGCTTATAAAGGTTTAGAACCTATCTAGTGAACTTATCTGCAGAAAGGATTGGTAATATAGCCTGTTCGTAAAGGTATAGAACCTATCTGGCAAAACTTATCCAAAAAAGATTAAGTAATACAATAATAGTAGGTACCGGACTGCTCTAGCAGATGATGACTTTGAGAATAAATCAGTTAACCAAGCTGGTAGTCCTATAGGTAGTTTGCGAATGAGCCTAGAACTTAGACTAATTAATGTATCGCATGTTCTGGGTGAGGTTAGATGAATTGGCATAAGAAACTCAGATCAGTGAGTTTAATTAGATAAACCAAATAATAGGTGGGTTATAGATATAGCATCTAGTATAAAACCTAGTAATAGGCAAACTACTTAAATTAGGCACTCAAAAGGTGCAGATATGGCTAGAATATACTTTCGTCAAAATGTATTTGTCTGAGATCCCTTTGAAAAAGGCATCATATGATTCTATAATCTAATAAAAGTGATAAGCCGAAGAGGCTAACCTTGACTACAAAAAAAAAAATTTCTAAGATTGATATATTTTTTTTGTTATATATATTTTGATTGGCTATATATGATCCAGTTATTGTCACTGCAGGTAACAAATAGATTTGCTCTAATATATATATATATGTACATATATACTTAATTATTAAAAAATTTTTTTAGCCAATTAAATTAATAAAATCAGATCATGTGATGATAGAGTTATTAGATTACTTATAGCTAGTGATTTGAACTAAGAAAAATTTCTTTAATTGGTTAACTGAACCAAATTATTTTATTTACTAATTGCCAACAGGTTAAGATTAACTATCTATTATCATCAGAAATTCTTAGAGCTTTATTCTCTTGCTTTTATATTTATTTATTTACTTTTTAAAGCTTTTTAGACTCTTTATTCTTACTTTATATTATTTATATTATATCGATTTTGTCAACTGATTACTCAATTCTTAAATGGTTATATTGGGTCAAATGATTAAGAATTTCCTCAACTAGTTAACTAAAAATTATTCAGTTCAGATTGATTAACCAATTATAGGCCAACTGATTCAAATTACTACCTATAACATATTATAGCATGCATGTGATACAAGAGCTAGGAATTATTAAAATAGAACCTCGTCCAGAATTAGAAATTTAATATACCTAATGGCATGCTAAATTTTTTTATCATACCAAGAACTCTAGGTTTGGATGAACTTTACAAGGGTAGAGGTAGATAATAGTAGTGGCTTCGGCTTACAAATACTTGTTCTCAGACTTAACACAAATTACCAAAATCTAGATTAGCCAAATTGGAGTATAGAAAGCTCTAGCTAATAATATCTTGAGAATAAATTAGTTTTAAGGATTTTAGAAAGGTATCTAGAACTTCTTGACTAGCGATTATAACGAAGATATACTGATGATACAAGTTAGATTATATTACAGAAGATTTAAATAGACAATTACCTAGTTAGATAGTAGATATAACAGATAGTATAGAACCTATAATGTAATACTAATATACAGACTATTTAAATAGGCAACCAAAAGTTGTATATATAACTAGCTGTACTCTAAAATATAGGGGTTCTACAAAACCCCCTGCCTATATACTTAAATAAAAACTTCAGCTCAAAGAGGCTAGTTATAAAAGTTAAAAAAAAAAATATATATTATATTTTCTCTTTAAAGTAAGTTTTATAGGCAAAGTTTATTTCTGTGTTTTTGTATAAAATAAAATTATTTTATATACTGTTATTATTTTGAACTATTTGTCTTCTACTATATAGTTAAATAAACAACTACACTTTTATCTTATACATATTTGCAAAAATTAATTACCTTAGTCTTAGATATTACCAAATTTGAATGATATAGATCATATCTTTTTTGTACAATTAGAACATTCTTGATACTTCTATTTCAGTCTATCACTATTCTATACTAATCTATGGACCTAAAATTATGCCAATTATCATTTGCTTTCTGATTTGATAAACAACT